TCTAGGTACCATCTTCGAGATGGTCGGTGCCATTACCGTTGGTGCTCGTACCGCTGAGACAATCAAGAACGGCATTATCCCTCCCAATGCTTTCAAGGACGATGCCGGTGTTCAGATGCTCGCATTCACTTGTGCTCTCGCTGGTGCCTCCATGTGGGTTATGGTAAGTGCCACTGTACTCATTGCATGTGGAACAGGCACTGACTCCGTACACAGTGGTGCACCAAGCACTCCGCTCACGTCTCATCGTCTTACTCGCTCATCTCTTCCGTCGCTGGTGTTGGTGTCGCCGTTGCCGGTGCTGCCAACGTACAATGGGGTTGGAACAAGGGCAAAGGTCTTGGTGCCATCTTCGCAGGTCTCGGAATGGCACCTGCTGCTTCTGCCTGCTTCGGTGCTATCATCTTCATGCTGATCAAGATGACCGTCCACGTTCGCAAGAACCCCATTCCATGGGCCATCTGGACTGCACCTTTCTTCTTCCTCGTTGCTGGAACCATTTGCACACTTTCCATCGTCTACAAGGGATCGCCCAACCTCGGTCTCAACAAGAAGCCCGCGTGGTATGTCGCAACCGTCACCATGTCTTGCGGTGTCGGTCTAGCGTTCCTGTCCTTCCTCTTCTTCGTCCCTTACCTACACGCCAAGGTTGTGAAGCGTGACCACACCGTCCGCTGGTACCACGTCTTTCAAGGCCCTCTTCTCTTCAAGCGTCCCGCGCAGGATGGCGTCGAGGCTGCCGTTGTTCCCGACTATGCCGTCGTCCAAGAGGATGAAGAGATGAAGAAGCCCGAGCAAAACAACGACTCCGAAGAGGGCATCACCGTCCACGACCACGAGAAGATGGCCGTCTCCACCGACATCGCCGAGCACCAACAACCCAGCTACAAGGAACTCGTCGCCCAGGGCCAAGAGCGTTTCCACTCCAAGCTCCGCGCCAAGAAGGGACCTCTCGGCTGGGCCATGCGCTACCTCCACGAGAACAAGATCCAAACGGGCGAGATCTACGAAAAGAAGAACATGCTCATCACACTGAAGCGCATCCCCGCCATGCTCGTCGTCGGCGCCCTCTACGGCGTAAACTACGATATCCACGCTGCGCAAACCGGTATCCACGGCACACCCGAAGGCCGCCGCATGGAGCGCGTCTACAGCCACGCAAAGAAGTACTCCAACGAAGTCGAGCACACCTACTCCTTCGTCCAAGTCCTCACCGCATGCACCGCCTCCTTCGCCCACGGCGCCAACGACATTGGAAACGCCGTCGGCCCCTGGGCCGTCATCTACGGCGCCTGGAACACAGGAAAAGCTTCGCAGAGCAAAGCATCCGTACCCGTCTGGCAACTCGCCGTTCTCTCTGCTACCCTCTCCCTCGGCCTCGTTACTTACGGTTACAATATCATGAAGGTCATGGGTAACAAGATTACTTATCACTCGCCTAGCAGAGGTTGTAGTATGGAGATGGGTGCCGCGCTTACGGTGCTTATCTTCTCGCAGTACTCGCTTCCTGTTTCTACGTCCATGTGTATTACCGGTGCGACGGTTGGTGTGGGTCTTTGCAATGGCACGCTCAAGGCGGTTAACTGGCAGAGAGTGGGGCTTTTGGTGTTTTCGTGGATTATGACTATCCCCATTGCGGGGACTATTGGTGGTGTTTCTTGCGCTATCGTTCTTAACGCTCCTCATTTCGGTTAGATGGGGGTATTCGAGCGGCAGGGAGATGTTGGAATGTTTGCAGTCGTTTCTTTGAAAAAGGATGGTAGATTGGCTTTTATACCTGCTTGCGTTTTAGTGGCGGCACCTTTGGGTGGTTAACGTGCGAATCGTCTATTCATGCATAAATTTCATCAACTTCTCTTGTGCTCCGGTGTCTTGATTATTATCTGAAGAACTTGCCACAGACCTACAGACCCCTTGACTTGTTTCCACTGCCTTTGATACCCTGACGCATGTTATGACTTAATATCTAGCATTTTCGGCAATAGAGTCTGTATAGATGGGTGCAGCGGGTCGCATGTCTTTGTTCTCTACACGACCACGCTACGACATCTCGTTAAGGTTAATGAACAAAAAACGGCTGGGGAGAGTATTGGAGAAGATCACTTTAGGCCATTTTAGTGAAGAACTAATGATGAAAGCGGAGCTCTAGTAATTTAAAGATCATCGCGCCGAGTACTTCCACCCCCGACAACAGTCTTCCTACTTATAGCAGATTCGGAATTCAGAAACTTTGGGAAAATAAAAGAATATACGCGGTATCTAACAGGCTGGGCGTCGTGCTAATACCAAAGTACCGGGTTTAGTCCACCCGAACTGCCCTGCTCTTGGAATACAAGAAGAAGGAGTCGAGAAAGGAAACCATTTCGCTAGGCATCCGAGAGGTCCAAAACGCATCAAAATCTGCAACAACATCCACTATCTTCGAAGCAAGAGGCATTCCAACCTACTGACCACGTCCGTTTCCTCGGCCACCTGGTCTACCACCGCGGCCTCCACGACCTCCACGGATATTTCCATTACGACGCTGCCGTTCTGCATTGATGCGGTCAGCATCGGCTCGAGTCAGGGCGTAGCTTGTCTGATTGTAATTCCATGGTGGCTGTACTACTTGACCGGACGGCTGCGTGGTGCCACGACCCCGTCCCCGTCCAGAGGAGCGGCGGTTGGAAGAAGATCCTCGTCCACGTCCACGTCCACGTCCACGTCCACGGGGAGCTTGTTGCGGTGATGCTGGTGTCGGGTCTTGGACTAAGTTTAGGTTGCGTAACACGGCCGTGAGAGCCGACATATCGGGAGCTGGTGGGTCAGGCGACGTGGTCTCTGGGGAAGCTCCAAATGGGGAGTAGGAGCTCGAGGTCTGCGGAGGGTTCGCTGAGCTGGGGGCGTTTGGAACGGGTGGGTTTAGGACACGGTCCAGGACATCTTGAGTGACATTGTTAAAAGCCTGAAGGACAACCCTCTGGCCTGCAAGTGTTGTGCCATTGAGCTGCTCAACAGCCTGATCGCGGCCCTCAGCTGTTTGCATCAAGACGATAGCAGACAACATGCGATTTCCTCCGAGTTCAGCACGATCGATACCTTCGGGGCGAAACGGGTGGAGAAACGCCATGACCACATCGTTATCGAGCTCGGGCGGGATGTCGGTCATAAAGAGTAGTCGGTTCCGCGAATCTTCTCGATTATCGAGATCAGGAGAAGGGACGCGATGCGGGGGCAAAACGTCACCCAGATTTTGGAGAACTTGTGGGATCAGTTCAGCAAGTGCCAGACGCTTCTGCTCCGCTCGAGCTTTGGCCTGAGCCTCTAGTTCTTTCTCCTTTCGAGATTCTTCTTCACGCTCCCGCACGACCTTTTCGTGTTCTTCTTGCAATAATTGGCTCTCCTTTACTCTTGCTTCTCGTGCTTCTCGACGCCGCACGGCCTCTTCCTCGCGCCGACGTTCTTCGTCTTCGCGAGTGATCCCGAGAGCTGGAAAGTCCGAGTCGGTAAGCCCACGAGTACCATAAGGCCGTCCAGGTAAGGCTGAGTCAGGGCCAGAAAGTCCAGGGCGAACGAAACCGTCGTGATTGTCGTTGACTGTGGAGAGGTTAGCAAATAGTTTGCGAAGGGCTTGTCAAAATCGAACACTTACCTATATAGTTGCCAGAAGGAGCAGCTTCCACGCGCACACGATTGCCACGGATGTAGTCACTCGCTATGTGTACGGGATGCATATGCCCGAACATGACATATACACTCGAATTCGCCCCTGTTCGTGGATGAGCTGCGCGAACCTGATCGAGGATCATATGCTGTTGGAAGAAATCGCGGATGTCGTCTTCAGTCGCGGCGCGTGGGACATTGTCTACACGCCAAACTCGGTTACCGGCAGGTCGACTGTATCTAAACTCAACCATTTTGACAGAATATAGCTAGAGCTTCAAGTCTTTTGGAGATTATCAATAAGAGGGCGGGGTATAGAGAAGGAGGGAAGAGTGGGTCGAGATTATATACGTAGCGGGCAGGAAGAGAAGGCATAAATTCGGTGTGCGTAAACAGTGCGAGACAGACTTCGCAGCGGGGTTAATAAGTTCCACGGAAGGGCACGCGCCAAGGAGGAGAATGTTTGTATACAACAATTAGTGAAAGAGTCGCAACCAATTCATGATTGATCAGGTATCGCGACCCGTGGGTTTTCATGACCAGTGACAATGAATGTCGAAGGAACGTTGCCATGACAAAGACTGCCCACTTTGGAAAGTCGTCAGTAGAAGAAAATTTTGTTGGTCTGGCCATGCGCCGTATACCTCATCAAATTTGAGATGTCGTCAAGAGTTAAGAGCACGAAGGTAGACACTAGCGACTGTGATCCGGGAGCGTCCGCCAGCTACTCCACGATATGACAACCCACATGTTGATGCCAATTCCTCGACGTATCGCAGTAAACATAACCGAGATGTCGATTTGACCAGATGATAGGACGGTCGCGAAGTGCAGTGAACTAGATGATGACGCAACGAAAGAAGAAACTATGTCAATTAGCATCTTCGGTATAGCGAGGAGGTTTTGCTGATATGAACGTGCTGTCGCTGCGGCCGCGACCAAGACAGTTGCCCTATGAAGCGATATTGTGTGGTGCGACTTGAACTTAGAGGACGCAGGGAAGGGTGAAAGCTAGATGCTGAGGTCATCGGCTGGAAATGTGATTACGTCAACCCGGCCTGTGCGCCACCTGCGCCGCTTCTCGAACTCCAAATCTCCAGACGCGCCGAGCACGCGTCAACGATTAACGCGCATCGTGTTCTCATCCGGAACTGCCTCAGATTCCATAAAATAGGTATGCGCACGAAACCAATATTAATGACATCTCTACCTTGTACCCACTCCCCAAACTATGCCGGATACCACCAAAGTCTTCCTAACATGAGCAATTCCACAACGCCTATCCTAGCTCCCTGATATGTGCTCTCGAGTGAGTAACAAAGTAAAGTATCTCCCATAACCATCACCACAGCCAGCATCTAGTTTTGTTTGCTCAACAACAGCTTCTGTCCGACCTGCAGTCCACCATGCGCATCGGCGTCGCGCAGGAACTCGCCCACAAGAGGATTCATACCGCTCCGAACCGCACCATCCACCCACTCGCCTATGGGCAACGAATCCAGCCCACTACCCGCCTCGCCGCTCAACAGCTCCCGAATACTCTGCACGGGGATGATCTGGTCACCTGCGTGGTGCAGATACTCGACTCGCGAGTTGCTGTCAGCACCTGGAGTCGCCTGCAAGACCGAACGAGCGATGCCCTCAGTGACGTTCTCGAGAGAGACAAGATCTACATAGCCTGTCCAGCGGCTCAAGTCGGGCAGCGCCTTGATCAGGGACCCATATTCGAGGAGGTTAGACATGATATCCTCAGCTGCATCATCGCCCATGATGGCTGAGGGCCGGTGGATGAACACCGGCAGGCCGATCTGCTGGCTCGCCTTTTCCAGGAAAATCTCGCTGACCCACTTGGAAGCCGCATAGCCGTTAGCTAGCCCTGCGCCACCGTCTGGATGAGGTGGGAAGCGCGCGAGCGACTCTGGAGCCAGCGTCTCGGACTTGTTGAATTTGCCTGCCGTGGCAGTCGAGACGAAATGGAGCGGAATACGACGAGTAGACGCGAGCCGCACGAGTTCCTTTGTAGAGGATACATTGGCGCTCCTGAGAGACTGATATGTCTTGAGGAACGACACGTCTGCACCGTTGTGGATGATGGCGTCTGCTGAGGCTGAAATCGACTTGGCCTCCGCTTCAGTTAGTCCGCAGCGCGGAAGAGAAAGATCACCCTTGTGCAGTACGACCTTGGAGCAGCTTGCAAACTCGACCAGCTTGCTGATGTCGCGAATCGCAATGCAATGTATCTTGCCAACATCGGGGGCCTGAACTAGCAGTCGGAGCAGAGAGCTGCCCAGGAGGCCTGTCGCGCCGCTGATTACCACAGTCTTGGGAGACGTGTGGTTCTGCACTGTTACTCCCGTAGCTTGATGTGTGCCTCCTTCCAGAAGGTCGCTGGGGATCGCGGTTTCAGCCTCCCAGTCAATCGGCTTGTCAGCATCTAAAGATACGTCCTGCATCATGGTTGCCATGGCGCCCAGTGTGCTGTTCTCAAACAGCTTCAATAGGGGCAGACTGGCTTTGAAAGTCTTGTTGATGAGCTGCCGCAGCTCGATGAGCAGCATGGAGTTGCCACCAACATGGAAAAAGTCAGAACTGGCGTCGATACGATGCACCTCCTGCATTTGCTCCGGCAGTGTGTCTAGCCAGACCTGGACCAGCTTGGATTCCATCTCTGTCAGCTCCTCTGTTGATTCTGATCCCCGCACGGTGCTTGGGATGGCGAGTCCTCGGAGGGCTCTTCTGTCCACTTTGCCGGCTGCATTTAGTGGCATCGAGGAAATGGCGATAATGGCCGCGGGTCGCATATACTGCGGCAGGTCCAGCGAGGCGGCAAGGTTGCCAAGGAATTGGATCTCGCTCTCCACCGAGGTGTCCGAAGGCGACAGCACCGCATGTGCAATCAACAGGGCAGGGTCACCCCGAGGCGTTACTGCCACCATCTTTACACGTCCTTTGGCCGCGTCGAATATGGACTGTTCGATATCTTGCAGTTCGATACGCAGGCCTCTGAGTTTGATCTGCGTGTCTCCATCCATACGACCGATGATTTCCAAGGAACCATCTGATCTGAGGACGCCCTTGTCTCCAGTTCGGTACATTCTAGTCCACCCGTTCTGTGTAGCCACCGAAGTCGGCATAGGGTCCTGCAGGAACTTGCTTTGCGGCTCATCGCTACTGTTGATGTAACCCATGGCTACGCCTGCGCCCGCGATGCAGACTTCTCCGGACCAACCGACTGGCAAGACGCTCAAATGTTGATCCACGATGTAGACACCGTAGTTTGGAAGGGTCCTACCGGCTGGAACAAGGCCATCATTGTGATTTAGCAAGCTGACATCCAGCTCGCTTGACGACATGGCGCATTCGGTCGGGCCGTAAGCGTTGAAGTAGTGGAAGTCGTGTTCGAAGCGGGCACCGAGCTTACGGAAGCTTTGCAGGAGCTCAGGCGAGAACTTCTCACCACCCGCCGTGGCATATGCCCAGTGTGTGCTTTGAAAAAGGCTAGTCGCACCGTGTCTGAGCCAGGCGAGATATTCCGACGGTGTTGCGCTGGTATATGTGATCTTCTCTTCCAGCACAATGTTGGCCACGGCTACAGGATCTTTGCGGAGGACCTCTGGAACGATGACGAGAGTACCTCCATTGGCGAGTGCCATGAAGATCTGGTTCAGAGACATGTCGAAACCCACGGAACTCTGCTGCAAGACCGTCTCACGTCCAAACCCATGCTTGTGCACCAAGGCCTCTACGTGGTTGCGCAAGCTACCGTGTGACAACATCACGCCTTTGGGAACCCCCGAGGTTCCACTGGTGAACAATATAGCCGCCGGCTCGCTCGCTCGGGCGGAGACCGGAGGAAGAATTGATGTCCCATCCTGGAGAAGGAGGACATCCAGAACAGCCACGGATGGCGAGAGTTCCATGCTCTCGGTCTGGGGAGCCGTCGTGGTGTTGACAAGCAGCGCAGAGCACTTAGACTCTTCCATCATGACACGGAGCCTCGCTGGTGGGATGTTGCAGTCCAAGGGAACGTAGACGGCGCCAACTCGGAGAATGGCAAGCAAGGAGAACACAAAGTGGGGCGACGGCTCCTGGAAGACCGCCACGACCGATCCTGGATTCGTGCCTGCCTTAAGAAGTGCGGACGATATCCTTCCGACATGTTGATCAAGCTGTTGGTATGTCCACGACATGCCGTTGGAGTCTTTGACTGAAGTTTCGTACGGGTGCTTGGCGATCATCTCGTTGATACGATGCGCCAGAGTCTCTGGCCACTTGGAAGTCATTACGGGACCTGCAAGACGTTGTTAGCGCTCCGGGTCTATGTTATATATGTAGACAGCCGACTCACCTTTTCCAAGCTCGATCGCAGTGCTGACATCCTGACTTGAGAATAAGGACACGTCCTGCAAGACCATTCCGCAAGAACGAGAAAGGTCTTTCAACAAGGCGAAATACATGTCCAGAAGCTGGGATGCATCGCTTTCAGAGTACAGACCGCGCTGGACCAATAGAGTGACGCGAGTTTCGCCCCCTGGATTCTCGATGATGTCCAGAGACATGTCGTAACCAGACCCCGGGAGATCAATTGACTTGACTTCAGCCTCTGCACTATCGAAGCGTCGCTTCTCACTTACACCCTGGCGATAGTTGATGAATGCTTGGAACAGAGGACTGATTGCTGTCGACCTCTCGCCGCTTACGTTGTCGAGCAAGACATCGAATGGCAGCCTCGAGTGGGACATTGCTCGATAAGCCTTCTTGCGCGTGTCTTTCAGCACCTCCTCGAATGAGTGCTGATTCTCCAAATGGAACCTGAGCGGCAGCAAGTTCAGGTACATGCCGATGCTCTTCGCGACTCGGTCGTCCCAGCGGTTGGCGTCGGCCATACCAATGCAAACATCGCTGTTGCCGAACAGCTTGAATAGGAGGACCTCAAACACGCCCAGGTGGAAGTGGAATAGATTTGCCTTCCGCTCGCGACATGCGTCTTGGATATGCGATGAGAGCTGCATGTCAATGACGCGACTCACCGAGTTGTGCGCGTATGCGGCCAACGGGACGCGATTCTTGGCCGCCGAGAATGGAAGAAGAGGGAGCGGCGACGGCGGTGCTGCGAACTCGGACCGCCAGTACTCTATCTCACCTTGCATTACCCCCGATGCCAAGTCCCCGCGCAGTTTCTCCGAGTAGGACGAATACTGATACGCTGGCTCAACGTTCAGGTCTTGGCCGTTGTAGGCTTTCTGTAGGTCGTCGAGGAGGACCTCCAGACTGATGCCATCCATAATAATGTGGTGGGATCCAAGGAGAAGATAGCTCTTCGTTGGTGTCAAGCTGAGATGCACAATGCGCATGCAGTCGCCATGCTCGATATCATAGACGTGGTTCTTGAGTCTCTCCAATTCGCGTGCCACGCCCGCTTCATCAGCGAGAGGCACAGTCTCGAGGCGCAAACGCGAAGTTTCGGAAATGCCCTGCACAGGTCTCTGATTCTCATCCACGAAGAAAGAAGTCCGGAAAGACTCGTGCCGTGCTGCCACCTTCTGGACGGCGCTTTCCAGATTGCCTAGTCTGATAGTACCGTTGACCGCCACACATATAGTGCTGTTCGCCGTCGTCTGGTCTTCCATTAGGTGTTTCTGGAACCAGAACCGGGACTGGCCTGGTGAAATGGGGAGTATCTTGTCAAAGCTTGGCTTGGTCACCTCATTGGAGTCTGCGACTGAGCCAGAGGTGGCGGACGATGACTCCTGCTTATCCAAGTCATCATCGCTCAAATGGCTTGGGCTGGACGAGTCTGTGCTTGTCTGTGGGGTTCTTGATGGAGATGGGTCAGTGGCATCGGGGGCCGGCAATGGCGTCGCATCCGGAAGCATCACTTCGGGGCCAGGAGAGGTGTCGCCTTGGTCTGGAGTTTGGCGAGCTGGCGTGTTGGCCACTGCGTGATCGAGCAGCTCTTGAACCAGACCGCCGGATAAGATCATGAACACAGGCACTTCGGTCTGGAGCTCCTTCAAGAACCAGGAACGAATCTCTACAGCGACCAAAGAGTCGACGCCGAGATCATCAATTCGTGATGCAAGAATCTGGGACGCCTCTTTGTCGTCTGGAATCTGGAGTATAACGCGCAGCTTACGGATGAAGCCATCTAGGGATTGTCAGTCCTGCGCTGCAGTGCATCGCCAGGATATACACGCTTACCTTGCACGATATCGCGAATCTCCTCCTCTGTAGCTGCTTCGACCAGTCGGCTCTTGATCGACGCGTCAGCCGCCCGTTTGGTGCTCTTGCTGTCACCCACTTGGTCGTTTTGAAGGCAGTGCTGGAAACGAGGGAACCTGGGCCAACGGATCATCACATCGTCGAGTCCAGACGTTCTCAATGCTGTCATGACCTCGGGATTTCGCCCAGAGAGCGGATGGGATGCTAAGACGGCCTCGCCAAAGCAGAGGTGGAATTCCCTCTCGGATAGCAGCAAGAAGCCGACCTTGAAAGAAGCCTCGTGCACGCTGCCCAAGAACCCATGATTGCGGTTGATGTATCCTACACCCATAACAGCGCCGATGTGGAAGATAGATGCCGCTAGGCCTTGGCTGCGACGCTTGTTCGCGAGCGCCGTCATGAAGGAGTTGGCGGCGCTGTATGCTGCTTGCCCGCGATTGCCGGCAATGGTGACAGCCGAGGAGAAAAAGACAAAGAAATCCAGCGCATCCGCGCCTCCACGGAAGAGCTCGTCCAAAAAGATGGCTCCGCAAAGCTTGGGCCTTAGCACCTTGGTCATCTTCTCGAGCGGCATCTCTGAGAATGAGACGTCGTCGAGAACCATGGCGCCATGAGCGATACCTGCGATGGGCGGGAAGTTCTGACGGATGTGGTCAACAAGCGACGAGAGCGCAGCCTTGTCAGTAATGTCGTTCGCAAAGACTTCAACCCTCACCCCGTCTTGCTTCATGCTCTCCAGCCATCTGGCATCCATCTTCGGTGAGCGACTCGTGAGCACTATGTTCCGCGCTCCGTGCGATGCCATCCAAGTGCAGGTGGACTGCGCCAAGTCGCTGGTTAGTCCAAACATGACATATGTCTTGTCGCTCTTGAAGTGGACGAGGCCGTCGACCGTGGAAATCTGCACTGGAACCGGGCAGGCGCTGTTCCAGTCCAAGACGGCTGGAGTGGCAGTCTCGATTTCGGACCCACCAACCAGCTGTTCCAATGTTATAGGGGCCAAGTTGGAGCTCAGAGGCTTCGACAGGAGCGTGTCCCTCATTGCCCACTGCACAACCCTGTGGAGTCTTGGGCGGAGATCCTGTATGGCAAAGCCACGAGCATGCTGCAGTGCTTGTATCCCTGCGAGCGTCGTCCGAAGGCAGGAGTCGGGTAGAGCGGAAGCGATCATCTCGCCCAACTGCCTCTGTTGGGCATCCTTGGAGCCGTTCACAAACATTGCGACAGCAGAGGGCAGCAAAGACCGAACCTCGCGCTTTTGAGCGTAAGAATCAATGCTGATCCACGCGCCATCAGCGACTGGTGTGGCGGAAGTGGTGAAGAAGACGGTCACGTTGATGAGAGATGCAGCCTCGATGACGCTGGACGCTAGTTCTGGAGATGGCTCATGGATGAGGAGTGTAGAGTCTCTCCGACACACAGAAAGCAGGTTCTCGACACGCAGCAAATTGTCCAACTGGGAGAGGAATTGAGATTCGCTACCCGCAGGCACTTCAACCTCTACCACGTCTTCTGGATGGACTAAGGCATGCGAGCCATTGGTCGGCGTAATGGAGACGACAGATTTGGCCGTGGCCATGTTCGTACCCAAGACCAGATAGGTCGGCTGAAGAGGAGCCGTAAGCACAGGCGCCAAGAGCGAGTAGGCAACCTTGATCACCACATCCGAAGCATCTTCGACAACACCCTGCCGATTCGACATGGACATCCTGGTCTGGAGAGAACTATTATGAACCAGAGCCGGCTTGGTAGAATCGAGCGAGAGATTGACCGGCGTGGTCTGCGGGTCGATGGCATGGTATATGGTTCGCTTGGATGCGTTGTACCGGTCGTTGATGACGTTTTCGTGATGAACGCGCGCAACCATGAACTGTCCGTTCTCAAGAGCGAGCTCATGCTCTTGTGTCCACAGCATCTTGTCGATGCTACCGTTCTTCTCCCATGTGGTGCCATAGCGCAGGCGTATGAGTGTCTCCAGAAGTTGTCGAGGATCGGGCTTGGTGCCGCTTTCCAGATCGAGCACTTGCGCAACTAGGTCGGGGATTTCGAGCAGCACGGTTCGTATGAGACCGATCGACATGTTCATATACGGCTCATCCGACCTGCAACCCTGTGTTACCCAGAGGACGGTTCCTTGGGTCTCGAATAGTCGCTGTATTCCCTTGAGCGCCTGTTCTGACAGGGAGCGGAAGATGGGCTCATCCAATTCCGCTAGGCAAAGAATCGCGCTGTTAGGTGTCGTCGTGGCGGAGCCTGTCATATCACCAAGTGTCCGATAGACGGCATGCTTCACGCCAAACGGCTGGATTAGCCGAACGATTTGGCTAATGAGCTGGCTGGTACCCAACGTCTGACCACCGATGATCACTAGGTCCCATTCCTCTTCGTCAACTGGCTTGTAGGTGCTGAAGGAGGAAAGTGGCTCGCGGAGCAGCGAGACGCGGTCATCGACAGCTTGTGTAACCCAGACAGTCAGCGTTGAAGGAAATACATCGATCTCGGGGGTGGCCGTGTCAATGCCCGAGAAGCCGCATTCAAGGAGCAACTGGTGCCATTCGAGCGTCGATACACCAGGCGACAGCATTCTCCCGTCGTTCTGACCTAGCCACCAACCTGTGGTGGCAGACATCATGAAACCGGTACGGCTCACGTCATTGTTGGTGATCTCTTGCATGACTAGGTAGCCTCCAGGCTTCATGAGCTGGCGTGCATTCCTCAGAGTGCGGCGTAGATCAGTCGTCGCGTGGAGGACCAGAGAGGCCACGACCATGTCGTACGAATGTTCTTCGTACCCTTGTGCCACAACGTCTTTCTCGCAGTCCAGAGTCTTGAATATCATCTTGTCGCTCACGGCAGAGAATACCTGTTGTGCAGTCTCGAAGAAACCCGAAGAGATGTCGGTATAGGTGTAGGAGGCGAAGGAGCGGCCGATCTCTTTCATGATCACCTTGGTAGCTCCACCTGTACCAGCACCGATCTCCAGTACCTTCATGCGGCCGTATCGATGCACAATCTGCTTCACGGTCTGGCCGAGGAAGAGAGACCACTCTCGCAGGCCCATACCGACCTCGTAGAAGCGATCCAGGAGACCGTCCTTGGTCATGTGCTCGAGAATTGTTGTCTCGCCTCTGAGAACGGCCGGAAGGTTGTCACCTACTGCGCGGGCTAGTTGGAGCTCCGTCCTGTGTGCCCATCTGCGCGAGATTCAAGTCAGCATTCCTGATCGAAGAGCGAAGGAGGTAGAAGCAAGAAAGAAAGCCGAAAAAGAAGGTGCGCTTTGTCACGAGAGGAGGAAGGAGTATAACATACTTGACTTTCAAGGCCGCGATGTCGTCTGCAGTGTCATCCAGCCATCTGCTCTGAGAGTATGGTCTTGTTCCGGTGGTAGAAATGACGTGGTGGTAGAACTCGAACATGCACTCAAAATGCCACTCGAGGTTCATGGTTTGTCTGACGTCCTTGGGGAAGGTGCTGGTGATGTTCCTCATGTAATCGAGAACGACCCTTTCCATGACCTCAGCGAACTCGTAGTCCTCAGCCGTGGACCTGAAACCGCCCATGGCCAACTCGCAATCTGGGTTGAGCGGCGCCCAGATGTGCTCGGTGAAGAACTTCTTGTCCATATCCGCGGTGGGCTCAGCAAAAGCGACGACTTGAATACCCTCCATCTGAACCAGGCCGGCGCCCTCGTGGGTATAGATGTCGACATCGCCGCGGAGTTGCTTGGAAGTCATCGGGTTCTCAGTCAGGTGCGCGCAAGAGTTTACGCTCTTGCTTTCTGCCCCGAGATGCTGCTCGCACAGACCGACATTGACGCGGAAGCTTTTGATCCCAGTGGGAACATGCAGCTGTTGAAGACTGCCATCACCCGGGAAGCAATACGCCAAGAAGATGCCCTGCAGCGCCGTGTCCAGCATAGCCGGGTGTAGGAGCATCTTCACTGGCTCATCATTCTGCGCAGGCACTGAGATGGTCGAAGAAGAGTAGTCGAGCCTTCTCTCGATCGAAGAGAGCGTCCGGAAGTCGCCGCTATAGCTGTAGCCAATGGGCTCCAGAGATGAGTAGAACCGGTCTTCTGAGACGCTGGTGAGATTGGGAGGGTCACGTTTTCGAGACGGCAGCCATCGGGGGTGCGAATCTCCTGTCGTCACCCGAATCTTACCCGTCGCATGCGTGGATAGAAGTTCTACTTCTGCATTGTTCGACGCATGATACGAAAAGGAAGCGACGTAACTCTTGTTACCTTCTTCCTTGGCGATGTTGTGCAGCGTGAAGAGTGTCTCGATGCCGGCATCGCCATCTCCAAAGACAAGCGGTTTGCCGAGGCTGAAGTCCTGTATCTCTATCACAGCAATGTTTTCGCCTTGCGACAGCGATCTAGCTGCCTCCACGGCGGTGGCGATGTAAGCTGTTGCTGGATAGATGACCTGACCCTGAAGCTGATGGCCCCGGACCCAAGGCATCTCACTGAGCTTAAGCAGGTTCCTCCAGCGAATCTCGTTCTCGGTTACATCGGTCGTTCTTGCGCCGAGTAACGGATTGTGAGGGTTCTTGGCACTGGCTACAGCTCTAGACATCCGAGATTCGTGCCAGTAGAGTCTGTCGTGCTCCCAATGGTATGTGGGAAGGTCTTTCAAGAGATCTCGGCTGAGTGCACCGGATGTCGATAGGTCCATTGTATGGAAGTCGATTGGAGAAGGAGAGAACCGAGACCACAAGTCGCCAAGGGCGTTGCTGAACGTAACGATATCGTCTTTCCCACGGTGCAGCAAGCCCACATACGGCACTGCTTCCGCATCACTGTGGGCACGAAGCGTCTCTAATACTGGTCCCTTCAACGCTGCATGTGGGCCAACCTCGATAGCGAAGTCGAATTGGCCTTCTTTGGCAGTGGCAGCAGACTGTACGGCCTGGGAGAAGAGAACAGGCCGGAGCAGGTTATTCACCCAGTATGAGCCAGAGAGATCGCAATCACCTTGCATATCGCCGCGCATCTCCGTATTCTCATACGTGCTGGAGAACCACGAAGGACCTTCCGGCGTGTCATGTTGAGGTCGGATGTTGCAGCCCTTCAGGCCCTCGAGGAAACCAGCTGCCACCTTCTCCATGTGAGACGAGTGATACGCTTTGTCAACCTTCAAGACTCTTGCAAATTTCCCCTCGTCTTGGAGAATCTCCCTCGCCTGCTCGATAGCATCGCTATCGCCAGAAAGCGTGACGGCTGTAGGCGAGTTGTATGCAGCGACGCACAAACGACCCTGGAACATAGGCAGTTCGCAAAGCTCGTTCGCGTCCTCTGCAGATGCGCCAGCGGCCATCATGGCTCCAGGCTTGTCGGATGGACACATGGTCGAATAGTAACCCCGGTAGTACGCGATCTTGACCGCCTCTGCTCGGGTGATGAACCCTTTGGCGTAAGCTGCGGCAATCTCGCCTGAGGAATGGCCGATGATCGCATGAAAGCTGACGCCTGCGCTGCGGAGAAGATCGTACAAGATAATCTCGATTGTGGTTGTGAGCGGCTGTGCATATGCAGCTTCTGCGACGCGAGACTCAGACGCATCGCAGGTGAGCTGCTCCGCAAGTGTCCAACTTGGTCTGTGTGGCTCAGGAAGACGCTGCAGTTCACGATCCAGGTCTTCGACTATTGCCCTGATATACGGACTCTTCATCAAGCCTTTGCCCATAGTCGGCCACTGTGCACCCTGGCCAGTGAACACGCCCAGGATCTGTACTGGCCGCGGCAGCTCTTTGGCACGGGTACCAAAACTGGAGCCAGTACCTCCTTCCGACGATGCCGCCAGTAAGTCGTCAATCTTGGCTTGGAGGTCATCCGCCGACTTTGCCGATATGCTGGCTCGGATTGCATGATGAGATCTTCGTGCATACAAGGTGTAGGAAAGATTGCCGAGATCAACAGCAGGATGAGATTGAAGGTATTTCGAGTAGTAAGACAAGACTCCTCGTAATGCACTGCTAGATGCAGCTGAGAAGTTGAAGGGTGAGAACAGCGGAGTGGACAGAGTCGTACTGTCCGGTGTAGGGGTGCCTGTGGAAGGCAGAAAGTTCTCGATGATGACATGCGCGTTCGTACCTCCGAAGCCGAAGCTGTTGACACTGGCACGGCGAATACCATCCGCGAGATTTGGCCATGGTTTGGAGCGTGTCGCAATCTCGAGGTTTGTGTAGAACGGCTCCACAGCGGGATGAAGTTTGTTGAACAGCAGATTGGGTGGTATGACGCCGTGCTGTACTGCGAGAGAGGCTTTGAGAAGACCAGCCAATCCCGCAGTACCCTCCGTATGACCAATGACGGTCTTGATGGAGCCAACGTAGAGTGGATCGCCCTTATGGGACGTGCTATCGCCAGGGTGGAAGAAGGCTTTGCTGATAGCCTCAGCTTCTTTTGGATCGCCAGCCGCAGTTCCGGTTCCGTGCGCCTCGAAGTACTGACAGCGCTGATTGGGGTCTTTTGGATCCAGCCCAGCCTTCTTGTAAGTCTGCTCGATGAGATCCATCTGTGCAGAGGCACTTGGCATGGTGATACCTTTCGTTCGACCATCCTGGTTAACTCCACTCTCTCGAATGATGCACTCGATCTTGTCGCCGTCGGCGAGTGCGGTGCTGAGACGCTTCAAGATCACAGAAGCTACACCCTCACCACGCGCATACCCGCTAGCATCAGCATCCCACATGCGGGACCGACTATCGGCCGACAACATGTGTAGCGAGCTTTCGGCAATGTACTGCCCGGATCCAAGGATCATGTTAACTCCCGCCGCGACCGCAACGTCCGAGTCGCCGCTTCTCAGCAGCTGGACTGCTTGGTGGACCGCGACCAGGCTGGAAGAGCACGCGGTATCGATGGTCATACAGGGGCCATGCCAGTCGAAAAAGTACGAAATGCGGTTTGACATGATACTTCGAGCCGTTCCTGTCGGAGCATAGGTTGGCAAGGTGTCGACGTCTTTGTGCAAATGGTCGTGGTAGTCGGCACACATCAGTCCAACGTAGACCCCGGTACGAGAGCCGATCAAGGATTCCAGCGGTATTCCCGCCGCCTCCAGCGATTCGTAGACCACCTCCATCAGCAGGCGCTGCTGTGGATCAATGGCGGCTACTTCGACGGGCTTTATATTAAAGAACCCCGCGTCGAAGTGACGGTGATCCTCCTCGAGAAAGTACGACTCCCGAACATCCGTCGTCGCGTGGTGGTTCGGGTCCGGATGGTAGAAGTTATCGATGTTGAAACGATCCTCCGGGATGCGCTTGAGAAGATCTCGCGGATTGAGCAGAAGCTCCCAGAGTTTGGACGAATTGTTCGAAGAGCCAGGGAAGCGCATGCCGCTTCCAATAACGGCGATTGGCTCTCCATTGCCCTGTGAAGTCTCGCGGTGGGCAGTCATTGCGAATGCAAGATGTCGTATAGCTTAGGACGCGGTGTTGAAACTCGACAATGATCACAGACGCGCGAAGGGATTTGGTGAGGCAATGTTTTCTTGGTCAAGTAATCCCTTTCATTCGTACTATCGAACTACACTACTACCTACTAACTTGCATACAAATGCTCACTCAGGGCTGACCCAACTTTCCTGTGGCGTTCTCGACTTCGGCTTTTCGTGCAAACACCAACATTCGAGAGGATCTGGAGTCGTTGCTGTCAGGCTGATGTATTTCGGGGTCGGTGTCAGACTCGTATATACAGCCAGTCCGATTCGGGCCTCTGCATCGGTCAGTGTGCGAAAGCAGAACCCAAAGCGGATAGAAATGGTGCAAAGAAGAAGCTGCAGCCCGACCGCGCCTTTACCGAGTATCCCAACATCGGTACTTTCTCTATCGATATGGGCAGCGAAAAGACCGAAGGGTTTGCTGAGCCGGCCACGGTGTCGGTACTAACATTCCGTACCCCCGAGACCGTACCAGCTTCTATTGAAGGGGAAACCGTAAGTACCGAAATGATGACACAACATATATGCGGATATATCTTTTTTCTACCATGTGCCTATTCGGTCCTGAGACACGACCCGCAAACATACGTTCTCGTTGATATCTACCTACCTAAGACGAGCGCACAACTGTTATAAAGTCTGGCAAGGCCAAAACAAGTCGTCATCCCAGTGTATCATTCGAGGTAAAAACGCCAACTCCAATCACGGTAAGTTCTTTTATACACAGAGATCGGTTATTGTTCCGATAAGGAACCGTGTACAAAATTCTAACGGTATCTCTTGAAGGTCTTCGACCTATTTCCACAGCAAATATGTCGTGGGGGCCGTTCATAAGTGACTGCATCTGCAAGACGCTAGTCTTCTTCAACGTCCTCGTCATACAAGCCCGCCTGACCTCGCGACTTACCCCGAGTTTCTCCAAAAACCTTGACACGATGCTACCGGGGCACAAAAGAGTCCTGTTCTCGTGGCTGAATCCTTCGGATTCGAGGCTGAACGCATTCCTGGTCCTCGTCAGTGCCTTGCTCTCGGTCGTGCTCTGGGTACAGAGCCTCCGCACTATCGGGCTACCGATTGGCTGTTTTTTGGCCTTGGTAGCGCTCTACTCCGACACGCAATTAGGGGAAAGCTTCGTCCCTCATTCGGCTCTTTTGTTGATGTGCTGCAGTGCGATGTATCTGGGGTAGTAGAGAAAGCATCACAAAGGCAATGGATGTTGTGCTGGATACTGTGCCACGCATTCAGGTGATTTGGCGCAACCGATGTAGCCGCGCGTTTGCAAAATCTTTCTTTATCGGGTACTTTAGCAACAAGCATGAGCTCTTGGACTGTGCCAGCTGCATTATATATACCAATAATATGTAACACCTTCCTCCCGCGTCACGAAGTCTTTGATCTTCTGGTAGAGAGAAGTCATCCAACCAAAGAGCCTCCGGGAGACCGGTCCGCTAGCGTGAGGCTAAGGAGTGGGCCCGCGCGTAGACGGCCAAAGCTTCACCCCTATCATGAACGTGGACGTGTGGAGTCACTTCGTACAGACCTCGCATCGTCAGCACATCGCACGCTCAACAATTCTGTCAAGAATGGGGGCTAGTCCTCGATCATTATTTCACACCCGCTGTGGTCACATATTGCGACATTCAATATTGCAATCTACCGTCCCCACTTCGCCTTCTCATTCCCACTCTATCGACGCCGTCATCCACATTGTCGTTTCCAACCTGCTCACTACAAACTGTCACAGCGCCTTGAGCGCAGCAACGATGAAGCACACCCAAGCCGGTAGATCCGTAGTCCACGCCCTAATCCAATTCATCCGAAGCCAAGATTCCATGGAGATGACAACATTGCCCTTTGGAACGTTCTTCTCGATAGCCGCGATGCGCTGCAGAGCCGTTGGCGCAAATAGCATGTGGGCTAAGCTGAAGAATAGTCCCCATGCATACCACGTTGTCGAGCCATATTGATGCTCGGGTATAAGCAGGTTGAGAATGCCGAGAAGGTAGTTGACAGGGTAAAAGATGATAAGGACCCACTGCCATCGAAGACCGCCCCTGGTCCACCAGGCAGGAAGGTTAGAGTTTGCCAGTGGGCGGATGGGACCCTGCACCCAGGTCCCAAAAATCAGGTGCTCGTCGAGGGCGAACATGAGGGTCATAGAGGACACGAGCGCCGGACTGAGGCGAAGAAGCGGCAGAGAGATCTCGACGAGTGACATGGCTGGTCCGATCGATAGGCAGGTAAGAATGTAAAGTTGACAGAGGCCAAAAGCTGATTCCCGTGCTTTCGGATCAAGCAATATTTGGAATTTGCGAAGCTCTGGAACTGACAGCTGAGAGGTCTCCTTCTTGCACGCGATTTATCCCTGTGATTGCATCAGTCTCTTTGCTTCCAAACTGAGCTGGAACGTATGATGTGGGAAGATTGGAAAGTCCCGAATACATGGGCACGTCTGACCGTCTGACAGCGCGTCAAAATCACGCCACTCGGCAATCATGTCCCAGGCGAATTCACCGAAGCTTACTCGGCTCGGATTACCCCATAGATTTGGGCAGTACCGTTCCCACGGGTATGTGGTATGCTTACTCATGATTTAGGACACCCAAAAGCGCATTAGAGTATCCTAAGTGTATCCTTCTCGGGCTCGGCCCCGAATAAGTTGAACAGTCAACTCTCCTAAAATTTGTGGTACGTCTATAATCTTATTGACGGTGTGTATGAAAGTCTACCTGCTAAAAATGCCGCTCGATTTTGTCACACATCGATATCCTTCATACTGGCTTGTAAACGAGCTCATGTAATCCTCGGATCTCCTCCTTCAGCGCTTTAGTCCCGGCTCTATCTGCCGAGCCATTTCCGCATCCTTCGCTTTTCAGCATCAGTTCAAGGAGGTGCCGCGGGATGACACTGCTGCGAGTATCGCTCTCGCATCTATCACCGCTTGAGCCGGCCTCGCATTCGTTCGGGTAGCCCAGTAAACGGCCAATTTTATCCACCATTCTCACCACAGCTTGAATGAGGACAATTATTTGCAGATCCGGATCGGGCGGTAGGGAGACATCCATTATGTTGAGGAATGAGATCGTGAAAAGATTGATTTGGCGACGTGTGGCGAACAACCCTGCTCGAATGGCGGCAAAGGTATTTCGACAGAGGTGCAGGAGATTTGTGTGACAAGACAGTAGCAGAAGACTCGTAGGCATGTCAACACTAGTACTGTGAGACGATTCGTGCGCTACAGTGAAGTCGACGCTGCTATCTGTTCGACGCCTTTTCACTGGCGATCGGCCTGTCGTCTCAGATATGCGGCTTCTTGAGTCATCAATGTCCAACTCTTCGACCGGGCTTAGGCAGCTGCTGCTAAACTTGAGGTTGTCGTGTGAGCCGAATGTAGCGGAGTGATTGGGTCTGACGATATCCACGAGCAGCCGGTGGTAGGTTTGGAGGCTTTGCATCATAAAGACGACAGTATCACAGAGCGTTCGGTTCTCCTCCGGTGGTGTAGCCAAAGCCGTCAGACCCAAAGCCGAGTCATTGTTCGTAAAACCAGTTCCTGTAGAGGTTGCCGCGCCCAACTGTCGAGACAGCTGCATGTTCAAATCTGACAACTCTTGCATTATCTCTTGGCGCATCGGTGAATAGCGACTGCGTCCGTTGAGTGGCTCGGTGAAACCGATTGCTGCTTGTTCGTATTCGGTGCGAGCTGGAATAGAATGGTCCGCGGAGAGATCCATATTTGGAATGAGAAAGTGTTCGGTCGGTAGGTTTACCGATTCGTCGTCGAGCGTACCTTCCCCAGGCAGTGCAAAATCGAAGGGGTCAAGATACTGAACCGTAACACTTTGAAGCGTTGGGTCAACCGGTGTGTCGTCGAGATCATGTACTAGCCAGGCATCGGTATCCATGGTAAAGTCGACAGCGGTTCTCGTTTGAGATTCAGCTTCGGGAGGAGGTGATGATCGTGTAGTTTGGGATGGGTGGTGAGCACTGCCGCTGTTCTCTCGAGGCTGCTCCTTGTCTGCCCGTCTCGGTCTTCCCATACGTACCCCGGTATCGATGATACATGTTGCACCAGCTTTCTGACACCTCTCGCAAGGGGTCTTAGAGTTCGAGCTCCGTATGCATCGGAGCTTTTGGCCTCGACACCTGTCACAAGCCAGCTGTTGGGACTTTTCTTTTCTCGGGTTCTCCACTAGAGACCCTGACTTGCAACCCGAGAAGCAGCTGGAAGAATCTAGGCGTGACATGTTGGGAACAAAGAAAGGCCAGCGTGTAAACCATGCGAGGACATGCTAGGTTGGTAACACCTAGACAGGTAAGGACGAACGATGGTGATAGTGCGAACTATATGCCGTGCCTCCCCAATGTATAAACCAAGGCTAGTCTTCAGCTACAGGAGTAAGTGAGACTTCTCGGCAAGCTTGCGATAGTGCTATGACCGTCTTACGTGAGGTTAATGGTGTACAGCAGAAAACCTTGTATGACACGAGAAGGCTGATAGGATTGACGCTATTGTTGTCCTGTCCCGCAGACCAGGTGCTTATCGCAGTGCCCAGAGCGGCGTACTGCTGCTCGGCGGAGAGTTGGTGGTGCAGACACAGCAACCACTCAATCAAGAAACCTGCTCTCCCGAGCGTTGCGGAATGTGAAGGATCAGAATGCTAGCTGAGGTGTGCAGTTGTGGCATAATTGCGATGTGTTAGTGGATGGAAGAAAAAGCCAATGTCCCTAAGGGCATCCCTTTGGCTCCTCGTCCAATTGACGGGATGTAATGGGACTTGCCGTGAAGGATTCAAGGTCGCCGAGCAGCATGCATGGTAAATCGTTGGTACATTAAACGAAGGCGTGACAGTGCGACCCCAAAACGCGGGATACGGCGGCGGGCCGTTGGGCCACCCGCAGGAGCCACCCGTAGGCTGGGTGGGGATCTGATTGCGAAGTTACACCAGGACGCCTCTCACATGGGGAAGGATTTCTCCGCTACGACCTGAGGACGACTTTATCCTATTTTCGTCTTACTCGCAGCTCTCGTCATCTAATCGCGTCATATACTTGTTGGGTTTGGTAGAGTCAATATGTATATGAGACACGCGAATGTAGTATGCTTACCGGAAACGTTGCGCGGTGACCATCTGTGGCTGAAGATGTGGCTTGATATTACCCGCGCCGGCAAAAACGCCGGCACGCTAACCTAATCAAGGTACGGAATGTATACACCGGTGAAAGGAAGTGAGGTATCTACCAACATGCGTTTGGGGGCTTATTCACACTTGAACGCCGTAAAGGTCAGGCCACCTGCAGGAAGCCTGTCGACCGAGTCGAATCACTTCCACGTTCATCGTATCAACCGCGGAGGATCGCAAAACCCTGCGAGGCCGATCATACCCATCCAACGAAACCCTCCGCGGTGGTTACCAGACTTCATGCACCATTGAATACGTAGGCACACACAGCTTCTCCCATGTAACCGAAGGTGCAACTATTCCCAGGCGCTCCATCAACTTACTATACCAAGGTTTTAACACCGCCCGTTACTCACGCATCATTGTACTACAGCTCTGGTACCAGCCACACGGTCTACCTATCGTCCGACAGGTCCCAACGCTACTCAAACCTGACATCCTGGCTGTGCAAGATGACACAGCAAGATCCAGCCGTCCGGAACCCGGAGTCAAAACAAGCTTCGGTCGATGCACAGGATCCAACAACGGAGAAGAACCCGTCAAAGTTCCAGAAGGGTCCAAGGTTCTGGGCTATCATGGTTGTGCTCTCGCTAGTGAGTCTTCTCACGGCTCTGGAGGCCACAGTCACTTCGACGGTCATGCCATCGCTCGTCGCCGATCTGGGTGGGGGCGAAGAGTTCATCTGGGTCTCTAATGCATACTTCTTGACTATGTAAGGCTCTTTGGAACAAAAGGCTCACACTCGAGCGATGAACGCGGGAACTAATCTGTGTAGGACTTCTCTGATGCCCATGTATGGACAGCTCGCTAATGTATTCGGTCGCCGATGGCCAATGATCATATCCGCGGTCGTCTTCATGATAGGGAGCGGTGTTTGTGGCGGGTAAGTTGTCACTCCTCTGGTGCTCGAATCGCGATCTGGCTTTTCTCGTCAAGCTCGAAGTCTTTGCTGATGAGATGAATGCATAGAGCAACCAATATATCCCAAATGATCGGTGGCCGAGCAGTGCAGGGTATTGGAGCAGCAGGAGTCGCCGTCCTCTGCGAGATCATCATCTGTGACTTGGTACCACTTCGCGAGAGAGGTACCTACATGGGCGCCGTGTTTGGCATGGTCGGTCTCGGAGCTGCTCTTGGTCCTTTCTTCGGCGGACTGCTCGTGAGCTACAGCACCTGGCGCTGGGCTTTTTACATGGCTCTTCCAATTGGCGGTGCTGCAGTTATATTGTTGTTCCTCTTTTTGAAGGTCAAATACGATAAATCCCAGACTTGGGCCACCAAGGCTTCGAGCCTCGACTGGCTGGGCAACGCGCTTTTTGTCAGCGGCTGCGCTCCGGTGTTAGTTGCCATTGGCTGGGCAGGAGGAAGATATTCATGGTCCTCTTACCAAGTCCTCGTACCGCTCTTGGTTGGGTTGGCAACGTTGGGAGGCTTCATCGCACTCGAAGGTAATGCCCGCCTCACGCCAAATCCCATCATGCCGCTCCGGCTCTTTGGGAACTCTATGAGCGTCATCGTCTTTCTGCTCGCCTTTCTCCACGGCATGGTCACTATGTGGACACTTTACTTCCTCCCGGTATATTTCCAAGGCGTTCTCGCAGTAGATGCATACAACGCCGGCATATACCTTCTCCCCACCATCCTCGCACTTCTCCCAGGTGCGATCATCGGCGGGCTTCTACTTAGCAAGTTCGGCCGCTACAAGCCCATTCTCGTCACTGCCTTCGCCTTGATTGTTGCCGGATTTGGCGTGTTCACACTCCTGGATGAGACGTCGAGTGCAGGTGCGTGGGTGGGCTTTCAGGTGCTTGAGTCCTTTGGCGCGGGCTTCGGCATGGGGGCTATGCTTCCCGCGTTGCTAGCCTCTCTAACTGACAAGGATACCGCAGTAGCGACGGCCACTTGGGGCTTCATGCGAAGCTTCGGCGTCTTGTGGGGCGTGGCCATCGCCGGTACCGTCTACACCAACCGAGCTGCACAGCTGGCTCGCTCGGGGACTATCAGCGACACAACGGTAGCGGCTCTTTTCATGACG